TACTTTAAGATATTTTTTAAGACTTTATTACATTTTTTATTTCTGTATTAGTAGACAATATTAAGACATTAAATCTAGAATTGATTAGAACTATATAAAAATGTGTGGTTTTGGTCTATAATAATATTAAGAGGAAGCTTTAAATAGTTGAGGAACTCATGATTTAATTAATATTATATTTTGGCAATGTGTTTAGGATTTTATGACAAAATATCTCCAATCTTATGATTATTATCCTTTGGTTATATAGTTAGAGATGAAAATGCAGGACCTACACACTGCTAAACAAGTGATCTACCAATTTAGTTATGCCAAGACTCAAATTTCTGTAGTTGTTAAAACAACTCATCTTCTACATGAGAAAATGAGTTGTTCCTATTTTTTTGCTTATTTTCCTTGTCCATGGTAGTGTTTTGTTTTGGTTTATTGGGATTTATTTGTTTACTCTTGAAATGGAAAGGATTCCATCTTAGCTGGCCATTATTTTTATTCTTCTGTTAAATGAAAGTACACATGTGTGTATTCAAACACATACATTCAAATACACACAATTTAATTTTAGAATTTTCTCCTTATACAATCCTGGGGATGTCCATTATTCAAACCTCTTACTTGCTAGTTGGTTAGAGGTTACTGATGTATTAAATGCAGTGTCAAAATTGTAATGCAAAATCTATGAGTTTGCTAATAATAAAGTAAGTAAAAAGTAGATATTTTTCTGAAAAATAAGCTTTTTGCATAATTTGAGCTAGATTATGAAAAGTACTTTCAAATTACAAGAGTGATGGGGGGATTTGGGAGGCCCTGGGGGGAGGGGAAACAGGAGAAGGGGAGGGAGGGGGAGCTGTGGTTGGTATGTAAATTGAAAATCAATTTTTAAATAAAATAACATAAAAGGGGGAAAAATTACAAAAGTGATGTCTCTAAAACAATATAATTCTTAATATTTAAATGACAACAAATCTAAGGTTGTACATATATGATTTAGCCAATGCCTCATTAAATGACATAATTTTCATACTACAAATATGTCTTAGTGGATCTATTATATGTGAATTTAATTTTAAAAAGGTTAAAAACGGTATTTTTTCTTTTTAAAATTTTATTAGATTTATTTATTTATTTAGTTGGTTAGTGGCATGGGGACAGGAGGGACACACAAGAGCTTGTGGAGGTCAGAGACAAACTGTTGGAGTTGGGTTTTCTCCTCTCATGATGTGGGTCCTGGATATGGGACACGAATCATCTGGCTTGGTGGCAATGCCTTTATCCACTGAACCATCTCACAAAAACTCCCACCAAAAGGTCCATGATTATTCTTAAGTTTCTGGATTTATGTTGATCATACTAATTTTACTATTATTCTCATAACCACATTTTTATATTTCAAAAAACCTATCATGCTTCAATCAATATTCTTTTTGGATTATGATTTAGATGTTTTTCATGTATTTACCTATCTCTGAATTTCTTATTTTAGGAAATGTCTACACATAACTTTCACTCACTTTTCTATTAAAGCTTTTCAAGTAACTTAGGTCTCAAGGTTCTCAATACATTCTCTAAGCTGTAGCAAATGTGTTTTCTCAACATGCTGTGTTTTAATTTATGATTTGATAGTATGATTACAGTGACCACACTACAGTCAGTTCTCTCTCTAATTTCTCTGATTGTAGTTTTTAAGAAGGTGTTCTTTTTTTAGATTGATAAACTTTTATTCTCTTATGAATACATATAAATCTGGGCCAAGGGTTGTAGAACAGTGGTATATAACATGTGCTCTATGTTATGAGGTCACGAGTTCAATACCCATGAACCCCATCTCCAAACATAATCATTCTGTTAAACTAGCTGGAGTTCATTACCAAAACTAAGTAGTGTTTGGGAGCCAGCCCAAGCTCCCCTTCCTAGCGAGTGGACTAGAACCACATCTCTCTGACTTCAAAGCTGCTGTCCTATCCTTCTCGGACATTGTTTCAGAAATGAGAACGCTCAGGCGTGCAAGCACCAAAGCTGTGATGCAGTCTTAAGAGACAATGACATTCTACACTAGCAGCTACCAACTGATACACCCGTGATACATAGAATGTGTATTATAGATTATAACGATATAAGTAGTTTATAGCAAATGTAAATAAGAATAATAAACTAAGTAATAATAAAACACATATATAAATCAAAAATAATTCCATATAACAGAAAGATGCTTCCATATATTTTCCCACACATTTCGGGTTGAGCTATTATACAGTGACAAAGAAAATAAACTTCAACATCACTGGAGATGTGAGTCAAGGCTAACGAAGTTACTAACCTTTTACTGGTTAACACTTCAGTGAGCTTTAGAAAAGCATTAACTCATCTCACTTTTACCTACCGCTGACATCCACCATAAACTGCTAGTCACAAAACTTGCTGACAGTATTTCCTCTATCAGAGCCTCTGCTTGGCTCCTTCTCTGCTGATCGTTCTTTGGTTCATGGCTTTGGACAGAACGCACTCATCTTCACTTAGCCCATGTTTACCGAGTTTGTGGAATCTAAACAATGAGGTTAGTACAGACCAAGACCTCCTTTGTAGCGTTACGACTGCAACAGAGTCGGCGAGCCTGCCCTTCACCAGGACAGACCTATCTCCCTACCACAGGGTCAAACATATGCCAAGAAAGACTTCAGAGTACATTTACCTAATAACAAACAAAACCTGTTTCCTAACAAGATCGGGAGCCAATAAAACATTACTTTTTCTCTATACATTTTTAAAATTTATGTTTTGAGAATTTCATACATGAATATATCATTTCTAACTTGCCCTCTCTTTTCTTTAAGTTCTAATTCACGTACATCCTGACACCATTTACTCTTCCATGGAGCACCGCCTTCGTTATCTCTCTCCTCAGAATCTCTGAACTCTCCAGGCACGCTACTTCTACCCTCTGTCTGTTGCAAGAAATCCTTTGAAAATAAAGGATTAATGAACCTCTGGATTTTTTTCCCTTAGAGTAGCATAAATTCCCCTTCTCATTTTGCCACTACAAATTATATAGAGCATTTCTTTCATCTACCCAGTACTCATTTCCTTCTTAAAAAATCCAATCTGTTTTGTTTAAAAATCATGACCTTTGTCCTCTCGAGCTCCCCGCTTTGAATGGAGGCATTCTTAGCTTTCCTGGTGGACTCTGACACGCCATCCCTGTCCCTAACCTGCAGTGAGGCCCCAGCTTCTCGACAGAGGGTCCATTTCTCTCTTGCCCAGAATGGAAAGCTGACCTTACAATATTAGCCGATAGAAAGTTGTTCAGCGCTTACAACATCACACACACACACACACACACACACACACACACACACACACACACACACACACACACTATGGTATGAGTGGGTAAGAGAGACAGAGCCCCAAAACAGTACATTTGTTTTCCAGGCTGGCATATCTGCATCTCCTTCTTTACTTTTCTAATCCCATGTAAATCTCTTTGGTGTTTATTCAATTCCAAAGCACACTTCACACATCTCTTCACCCATCACGGACCCTCAGGAACTTCAAGCACCTATGTAAAGTTCTAGCATTAAAATATTTGCCTTCTCAACTGCCATCTGTGTTCTCCCCCAGAAACCCATTCCTGGACCAAACTTGCTCTTTATGTTATCTGTAAATGTCTAACACACACACACAATTAAATACCAGATTAAGCTCTGATAACAATCTCCTCTTTGATTTGTCTTCAGTATCGTATAGTTATTCACCAAATCTTTTCTCCCTCAGAAATTTTTAGAAACTTGCATTTACCCATGACTTCATATGACTTTCCTGCTCATTTCTCAGCACATTACTTCAGCTTGCCTTGTCCTGAACCCTACATTCCTCCTTCTCTTCCACCTTCTTTTGTAACTCTTCATCAGTGCATCTTGGATCTAAATAATTCTACCAGAGCTGTGGCAGTCAATCACAGAGTTTAAGGGAAACAGTGCCATCATGAATCTAGGATCTCTGTCTGCTTGGTGAGCATCTTCTTCCAAGCCCCAAGGTAGCTGGCCTTTATAACTTCTCTACAGCACCAACATTGCTTCCCTGTTTCCATATCAATTTGAAATATCCTTTATAGAAATAGCCAACATTTTCTAACTTTTAATATACAACTTGATATAACAAGTATTTTTTGAACTAACCCCAATTCTGACAAACATGATCATATCATTTTTGTGATTCTCATATAATAGTGTCTATAATTAATTATTGCAGTTATTTGTTAGACGAGTATGCAGCTGTTTTTGTTTGCCTTGATCTTTCCAACATCCAGTATGATACTACAAGTGTTTGTTAATGAAAAATATTCAACCTCCAGCACTTCCACGAAGCCCTCTATGTAAATCTGTTTAAAACCGATTTTATTTGTATTTGTAACTTTTTGAACACACTGTTCAAACCATCCATACTGGCACATTTACATAGCATATTATCCTCATCTATTAATTACTAAGTAGTAGGAATAAGTAAATAAATTATAAAAACTTTCTTCATGGCCTGTGTTAGGTCTTTGGCATCCTCATATCCTAGAACAATGTTGGTCATGATACAACTAAAAAGCTTTTTTCAAGTTATGTAAAAATGTAACAAATCAAGTTTTAAGGGTAAAATAAGTTTGGGAGTAAATTATGATTAACTTATTAATTTAATCTAGCTGACTTTCTCCCATAAATACTCACATGTACACATACACACATGTATGTATCTTTTACATCTGATTATTTTTCTAGTTATAGAAAAACAACATATACACATTATATGAAATTCACTATTTTACTTTTATCCACCAAATTGAAGCAGCTGCTGTAAAAAGTTGGAATATAAATACTTTTAAAACCTGAAAAATTAAATATTTTCAAATATTAGAAAAGTGAAAATTTATGAAATGAGTAAAAAAATAGTAAGATGTTTCCAGGGTAAGTTAGATTATATGAAAAGAAAAACAAAGAAAATCAGTATGAGAGACAGACCTGTATATCTTTTCCTTGTGGAATCCACTTCTTCTGTGGTCACAGCATATAATGAACAGACATAGACAAAGGAGATGGGTGTGAGTGGATGAACTCAAAGGGAACGTGACACTGGAGGGAAGAGCCCCAAGCCATTGAGAGAAATCCTGCGTAGTCGTAGGGAAGATAACAGTCAAAAGCATAGCATTAAAAGAGGCAAGAACTGATGGCAAAGAAGGCAAGTAGCTATAGGTTAGCAGAATGAGAAAAATAGGGTAGTGCATAGAAGAGGATCTCAAAGTTTAGTTACTTAAGTACAGCCAATCTTGAATACTGACACTGAAGAAAAACACCATTAGTAAAAACAGTATTATGTGTATGTCCACATTTTTTAGACATTGCTGGGTCAAATTAAAACCTGTGAAAATGCCTTCAATATTTAAGTATCTGAAGAAAGAATTTGAGTTATTTCATTAAAAAGAGCTGTGTCCCACCCAAACTGTGATGTTTCTCCAATTAATCAGAAAAAAAAAGTTCGTCTATCAGGCCAATTATCTCACTAAATAATTTCACTCTAGTGAAATATTTAAATAAAAATTACAAAATTACAAATTACTACATAACTCATTATAAGAACAGTAGATGAAATATAAGGTTGTAGTTTATCACTGAACATTAAAATTGTCATTAATTTTGAGAAATTTCTTTTGACTATATTCCTTTATAATAACTATTTATTCTGAAAATTCTTACAAACATCACATTATAGATTGTTACTACAGTTTCTTTTAACATTTACCCTTGCAAATCACTATTGACTAGAATTGGATAAGGCATACATTTAAGAAGTAATACTTTTCTAACTACTACTTGAGAAGTTGAAAAGATATTGGTTTATACAGCAATTTGAAGTCAAGAAAAAAGTCAATTAAACTAAGCTTTCAAAGAAAATCGTTCAACATATTGGTGAGGTAGTGTCAGCACAACTAACACGGCGAAATAACAACACAAAGTCATAATCTCTTAGTGAAATCAAGTCCTCTTTCCTGAATCCAATATACAGAATTCTTAAATACCACGCTCTGTTCTAGATAAATTGAATTATGGATTTTGAGTGATTTATGAAGGAAAAAACTTGTTGGAATACCAATATATTAGAGTTTTAAGTCCTGAGGTAATTAATTATTAAAACAAATGCTTCTTTTCATGGATGGCAAGAAAATGAAATCTTTCTATTACAAGGAAAGTACTAAAAAGTCTTAGAAAAGAAGAAAGAGAAATAACTAGAAAAGGAATGACATTTGATACCCAGCAATGTTCTCTTTATTGTGTAAGCATAATTTCATGTATAAAATCGGACACTCCTCACAATTGTATTTCAAACTAGAGGCCCTAATATGATTGAACCCAAGAAAAAACAATCTGTGCCCTTCTGAAAAGTGCCCTTGTACATGTATGTCAGAGAACTGCAAGCCATATTACCCTTTCCACACCCATTTCACCCACACTGTGAAGGCAATGTAAAAAATTAAATATAGTAATAGCATAGGCCCAGGTTGGAGTCTGTCTGTCACATTATTATTCTTTGATATGACATTTTTATAGATAAACATTAGCACAGTGCTAAAATAGTTAAAAGGATAACAAGTTAAAAATAAATTCGTAAGAATTGGAAGATTGTTTACAGACACAACATCTCATTTTTTTTTTGTAGAAAACATGAATGGCAATTAATTAAGCTTCCTTTTCTTCTAAGCATTTTCCTGAACACTGGATTAATTGATATGGTTATCATAGTATATATTGTTTTATAAATGACAATTTCTTCTAAATTTCACTCATTATTATAGTAAATAGTGGAGACATAGAGAGTTCAAGTTAACTTACCCAAAGTCACAAAACAAATACAGTGTCATGATCAGTAACAGAACAAACGTTTTCATTACCTGGCTAATATTCTACTCAGTGCTATCTGACCCAAGAACTTGTGAGACAAGATATCAAATGATGAAGAAACAAAGAACCAATCCTCTCACCGTGAGACCTGAACTGGACATTTAGTAAAAGAATTTCACATCACAAATGGTCAAGTAGCCCAGGATGCTTTCATTTTATAGGAGATCGGTCAGGATCTACATTCTCAGAGACAATCATTTAATACAAATTTTGTATTGTATTATTCATAAAAGGAACAAAAAAGATCTATCTTGACAATCTCACTACTGACAGGAAGTGTCCATTAAACCATGTTCATTATTTATTTATCTATGATACAGTGATGAACAGGTCAAAAGAGTACATATAAAATATAACTCAGGCAGACAGAGTCATCACGCGAACCTCCATGTACAATCAGTTCCCAGCTTTGTAGAAGGCTTTCTTGCCTTCCTTTGGGTTACAGTTACAAATGTAGTATGTGTTAAAACAGTCTCATTTAAAATCACAAATCAGTCTTCAGCGATACGAACTTTTATCAAGCTAACAAACTGAAAAGTTCTGTACATGTATGGTGATGGAGAGCAGACTCCACTGGCTCCTTGAGGAAGCTGTGTGTCAGTTGCTAGGACCCATGTGCCAGTGTTCTTAATGAGTTCTTTTTTAAAAAATGAAGTGGGGAGATGGTGTGAGGTAAAATGGACAGGGAATGGGTGGCATAAGTATAGTCTGTTGTATCCATGTGAGAGAGTCTTAACAATAAAGTAGATTTTTAAAAGCTTTGTGTATCCCTCCACACTTCCCATTTCTGTAGCTTTTCCTTGACCATCACCAGGACACAAACACTATCAGTGCTGTCAGTCAACAACCAGTTACCACACCCCTCTACAACCAGCACACCAGGATCTTCATTTAACCATAATCTGTTAAGAGTGATCACAAATAGCAAAAAGCACCCTGTATCGCAAGTGCTGACTTCTGTAACAGTTATGGCTACAACTCTGTTTTAGACTTAGCAAATACAAAGGGTTTATAACTATGCAAAAGTATCTTTCAAGAAATATTTTGAAATGTAAAGAACCATCAAGATGCAAATCAGAAAAGGACTTGAGTCTAACTCAAACAAAATATACACACATACATACTAAAAAACTAGATATTTTGGCTAAATATCCAGATATTTTGGCTTTTACAATAAAAAATCTACCATATATTATTTTAACAAACCATATTTGGTTTAGTTAAGATGTTGAAAATGTGCATATTTACCCCGCTGTGCAAAATTTTAAGCAAATCAAAATGTCTTTCCTTGTAAATGATATTTTATATTCTCAAATTTCTACTGAACATATGTGAAAAATTCAAATAGACATCATAACAAACTTTACTTTAAAAAGCAGATAGATAAGACCTGCAATTTTCACCACAGGCACTGAGCATCCTTATAAAGCTCTGTTGATGAGCTAACGATGTTCCCACTCACACCACTCAGAGAAGCACATTATAGTTAGTACTGTTGCTGGAGAGACTGTACGTGAGTTAGCAGACATCCTTGAAGAACAAGCATTATATTCAAATATTTCCAACACAATGAAAAAGAAACATGAAGGATTTAAGTTTTTTAGAGAGTAATGTTAACAACAGAATGTGATTTTATTAATTCAGAGATTTACAATGACATCTGTAAGAGATGTATATTTCCAAAACAAGCCTGTGTGAGCACACACTCAAGCAGGATGGTCTGAGAACAAGTCAGGAGGAACATAACTGGATTCTGGAATTTGTGTGAGGTCCTGAAACCAGGCCCTGGAGAATCAATTGCTGGCTTTATTTATTTCTAAGTGTAATAATAACACTTAGATCTAAAGCTTATCTGCTCATTTATATCTTATTAAACATTAACTTATTTGCCTTACAAAGATTTTTCTATCAAGAAAAACAAATTAATTCTATCAAAATCCATAAATTATCAGACAATATGTAAAAGTAACTAAAAATAGAATCCTGATTAATCTTCTCAGATTTAATGGATAAAATATCAAATTAGAAGACTAGTTTGGAATTATTCTTTAGATTGAATAAATTATAAAATCCTTTCAAGAAATCTCAAGGTATTCAAAACCAAAAAATAAGAATATAAAATATGAAAAATACCCAAGAAAAATTTCATGTGTAAAATTTAATATAATAAATCACCCAAAATAGATAAATTTATAAAGCATAATTCCAAAGACAAATTGAAAAAAATCCCTATCTTCATATTAGTTAGAAATTCTATAGGTGTTATGATATAGACACATTTATCTTGGGAAAAACCCACCACTCAAATCAGACAAGGCTAAAGGAGGACTGTCACAAGAGCTGATGCCACAGTAACTGGCAAAGCCTAAGAGGTTACATTGAGTTCTGTTAAGTCAGAAGGATAATATATACAACTCCAATAGCGCATTTCACTGACTTGATTTAAAACACACAAAAAAAAAACCCAAACCAAAACAACAAAACAAAGAAACAGACACAAGGCAAGAAAAGGCCCACAGACTGATTTTCAGACAAGACAGCAAACAAAGGATACCAATGTGGTTTCAGAGTAATTCTCGTATATGAAGGCGATTCAAAAAGGTTCTTAGAAATAACATACCTCACACATAGAAAGTGACCAATTAAGACTAATAACCCACTTATGGACAGTATCAATTAATCACCAAATACATTAGAAGTCACGAAAGTGCTATTCTCACACATTTTGAATGATTTAAATCCAAGGCTATCCTTCAATGACTTTCTCATGTGAAATCTATGAGCCTGTAGTATTTCCAAGCATTTATTAACATGAAGACGTCACCTGGTTAGCTCTCTCAGCACATTTCCTGTGTGGCAAACACAATGTAAAGTTAAATTATCTGATGTAGAAACGTGCTTTTTTCTCAGAGGGCATTTCTATTGACTGTTAAGTGCAGATAAACGCACAAAGCAATGACAAACCATCAATTTAATATTTGTTTCCGATACTGAACAGCACTCATTGTGTTGGTAATGATCACAGGACTCTTGTCTGCAGTAGGATGGCTCATTGAGCTGGGTGGTGGTGGCACACACCTTTAATCCAAGCATTTGGG